TGGAATTTAAATGTTTTCGAAGAGATAATATAAAATGACATCTCCAATTGAATTTTACTTAATTTTGGAATTTAAAAAGGGGTGTTTACGTGTTTTATATGGAATTTGAAGAGACCATACAAAAATCATCTTCCCATTCATTTATGGAATTTTAAAAAAGTGTTTAATAAGAATTTGAAGAGATCATACAAAACGATCTTCGTTTTTACTATTACTATCATTATTATTATTATTACTATTCTAAAAGTGTAAGTAATTTCTTAACCGTTTTAGATTTTTAAAAAATATAAAAGTGTAAGTAATTTCTTAACCGTTTTAGATTTTTAAAAAATACAAAATAATTTTCACTAAATACTTTACATTAAATGTTTTTTTTTTTTTTTTTAACTAACACTTATTATAATTGTAATATGGAATTTAAATGTTTTCGAAGAGAGAATATAAAATGACATCTTCAATTCAATTTTTATTTATTTTTGGAATTTAAAAAGGGGTATTTTATATGGAATTTGAAGAGACCATACAAAAGTGTAAAAAATACAAAATAATTTTCACTAATACTTTACATTAATTTTTTTTTTTTGACTAACAATCATTATAATTGTAATATGAAATTAATATGGAATTTAAATGTTTTCGAAGAGATAATATAAAATGACATCTCCAATTGAATTTTATTTATTTTTGGAATTTAAAAAGGGGTGTTTACCGTGTTTTATATGGAATTTGAAGAGACCATACAAAAATCATCTTCCCAAGTGTTTAATAAGAATTTGAAGAGATCATGCAAAACGATCTTCGTTATACTATTATTATTTTATTACTATTCTAAAAATGTAAGTAATTTCTTAACTATTTTCGATTTTTAAAAAATACAAAATTATTTTCACTAAATACTTTACATTAAATGTTTTTTTACTAACAATTATTATAATTGTAATATGAAATTAATATGGAATTTAAATGTTTTCGAAGAGAGAATACAAAATGACATCTCCAATTCAAATTTTATTTACTTTTGTAATTTAAAAAGGGGTGTTTTATAAGGATTTTGAAGAAACCATACAGAATAATTTTCACTAAATACTTTACATTAAATATTTTTTACTAACAATTATTATAATTGTAATATGAAATTAATATGGAATTTAAATGTCTACGAAGAGAGAATATAAAATGACATCTCAATTTTTATTTATTTTTGGAATTTAAAAAGGGGTGTTTTATATGGAATTTGGAAAGATCATACAAAATCATATTCCCATTCATTTATGGAATTTTAAAAAGTGTTTAATAAGAATCTGAAGAGATCATACAAAATGATCTTCATTATTGAATTTGAAAAGGGCACATCAAAAGAACCTGCCAATTTCTGTTTTAAGAACTTGATTAATGACATATTAAGACTTTATGATCGTCGGTCTTGATTAATATTTCACTTGGTCCTAAAAGTTATGGAAGTATTTCTTAATTTTTTATTTATAAAAGTGTAAGTAATTTCTTAACAGTTTTAAAATTTTAAAAAAGTACAAAATAATTTTCACTAAACACTTTACATTAATTTTTTTTACTAACAATTATTATAATTGTAAAATGAAATTAATATGGAATTTAAATGTTTTTGAAGAGAGAATATAAAATGACATCTCCAATTCAATTTTTTTTTTATTTTTGGAATTTAAAAGGGGGTGTTCTCTATGGAATTTGAAGAGACCGTACAAAATCATCTTCCCATTCATTTATGGAATTTTAAAAAAGTGTTTAATAAGAATTTGAAGAGAAGTGATCTTCGATATTGAATTTGAAGAGAAATTAATATGGAATTTAAATGTTTTTGAAGAGAGAATATAAAATGACATCTCTAATTCAAATTTTATTTATTTTTGGAATTCAAAAAGGGGTGTTCTATATGGAATTTGAAGAGACCATGCAAAATCATCTTCCCATTCATTTATGGAATTTTAAAAAAGTGTTTAATAAGAATTTGAAGAGAAATGATCTTCGATATTGAATTTGAAAAGGGCACATCACAAGAATTTGCCAATTTCTGTTTTAAGAACTTGATTAATGACATATGGCTGTCAGTCTTGATTAATATTTCACTTGGTCCTATAAGTTATGGAATTATTTATTTGTTTTTTTATTTTATTTTATAAAAGTGTAAGTAATTTCTTTACCGTCTTAGATTTTTAAAAAATACAAAATAATTTTCACTAAATACTTTACATTAAATGTTTTTAATTAACAATTATTATAATTGTAATATGAAATTAATGTGGAATTTAATTGTTTTCGAAGAGAGAATATAAAATGACATATCCAATTTAATTTTTATTTATTTTTGAAATTTAGAAAGGGGTGTTTTGTATGAAATTTGAAGAGACCATACAAAATCATCTTCCTATTCATCCATGGAATTTTTAAAAAGTGTTTAATAAGAATTTGAGGAAATCATACAAAATGATCTTCGTCATTGAATTTGAAAAGGGCACATCAAAAGAACTTGCCAAATTCTGTTTTAAGAACTTGATTAATGACATATTTAGACTTTATGACTGTCGGTCTTGATTAATATTTCACTTGGTCCTAAAAGTTATGGAAGTATTCCTTTATTTTTTTAAATTTTAACTAAAGGAATAATTACATGCCTTTGCAAGTCTAAAGGAATTTCAGTTACAATTTTTTTTTTTAATATCAAAATATATAATTTTAAAAAGAGTGTTTAATATGAAATTAATATGGAATTTAAAAGTGTTTGAAGAAATAATACAAAATAATATTAACTTGAATTCAGTTTTTATTTTTTATTTTTAAATTAAAAAGGAACGATACAAAATCACCTCCCCAATTAAGTTTTGATTCATTTTTGGAATTAATAAAGGTTGTTTAATATGGAATTTGAAGAGACTATACAAAGTCATCTTCCCATTTATTTATGAAATTTAAAAAGGGTGTTTAATAAGTTATTGAATTTGAAGAAAGCAATCAAAAGAACTTGTCAATTTCAGTTTTAAAAACTTGATTAACAATATATATAGACCTTATTATTTTATTTTCAAATCTAAAGAAATTTTGGTTACATTTTTTTAAAAAAAAAGAGTGTTTAAACATGAAATTAATATGGAATATAAAAGTGTTTTTTTTTTTTTTTTTTCATTATGGAATTTAAAAGAGAGTTCTAAGAATACAAAATGACATCCCCAATTCAGTTTTTATTTATTTTTGGAATTTAAAAATGAGTGTTTTATATAGAATTTGAAGAGACCATACAAAATTATCTTCCCATTCATTTATGAAATTTAAAAAGGGTGTTTAATAAGAAATTTGAAGAGATCATAAAAATTGACCTTTCCAATTCAATTTTTATTTAGTACTTTTTTTTTTTTTTTCCTGACCAAGTGACCTTCTCTGAATCAGAGTAATAGTTGTCATTTGTCTGTCCAATTTCCACTATAAACATTCTTATTTCTATGTTTTATTAGACTTTAGGAAAGCACAATGGACACCCTCCGATTTCAATGTTGTTCTCGGATTGTTTGATATCATTAAGAGGAGCTTAATTTATTTTGGTTAGATGCGATCAATATTCGTTGACAATGCGATCAGGGACAGAGTTAGGATTGCAAAGTGAAGGGGGCTACAGATATAAAAATTTAAAAATGAATACAATAATTTTTATGATAGATATGATATATATTAAAAAATAGCAAAAATAAAAAATGAATAAGTGATAGGTTTGTAGTTTTGATTACACTAAAGAGCTACTTGAATGGAATGAATATTCTTTTACAAGATAAGTGAGATTTCGTGTTGCTTCTTTTTTTTGTTCAGATAGCTACTCATTGCTGGGTTGGGTCATTTGCTATTTTTGTTTTATTATGGATTGGGCATGGATTGGACTATGACCAATAGGAAGTAGTAGTACTATTTTTTTTTTTGGATCTGGGTTATAGCCTAAGTTAGCCCACACTAAGTTACGCCTCTGAATGTGATGAAATCAGACTGATTCTTACAATCTTGATACCAAGCTGACGTTTTCTTTACTTATAATAGGTACGTATTGAGGATTTGTTACAGTATTTGTTAGATTTAAATTATATAATCTTGTATTTTTTTATTGAAGTTTTTCATTACGTGCATCGCACGAGACTTCACTAGTCCACTAGGGATAACTTAGGGCGCACGGGGGGCCATCGTCCGCCCCCGTCGCACAGGATGTGCGGGGGCATACATTTTGCTAGTATTAAAAAATAGACGAAAAAATGATGATGTTCTTATATATCAAATCAAGTTTTTTAGGGGATAAAAATTAAAAATATCTGTAAATAGAGTTTCCTGATGTCAGTTAGATTATTATTCTTCTACGTATTCTCTTCACTGTTTTTTTTTTTCTTCATCATCTATATTTGTTAAAAAATATGAGAAATTGGACCCCCTCTCAAATCTATGCAATTTCCTTACTAGACGCCTAAATAGGCCAAACCCTGTGAGGAAAAATACTACCGCGTTGAGAGAAAGTGGCTGAAGAGCAGTAAAAATTGTTGAGATTAAGTGGCCGAAGAGCAATAAAAATTGATTACATTGTATTAATAAGAAGAGAAAGAGTAGTACTAAAAATTAATTACATATAAACTGGACTGATAAGAAGAGTGGCTGATAAGAAAAGTAGTACTAATTTTTTTTTTTTATTTAAAATTAGACCTGGCTATGTTAGACCAGTAAAAGCTCCACTCATGGTCATATTGTAGCCCCAAGAAGTTGCTAGCACATATAAGAAAATTAGTATACAATTTAGGAGTGCTATTTATGCATCTCAATTTTCACAGGGAGGAAATTGCTTAGAAGGAAACCTAATGGGATGATTCCCAATTTTCTGGCTGATATTGATATTGATGGGATTATTCCTTCGTATATATATTTTTTGCTTGGTTTGAAATATATCCACAATTTGTATTATTTAAATCAATAACATTGTGCAATATTCAAATAAGACATGAAAATTTAAGAATTTCCATCTTTTTACCTTGTTCTTTTTCTTTCATTTTTTTATTTTTTATTTTAAATCTCAATCCGTATGCACAAATGTCATTTAAATCCACTGAAACTAAAAAAAAAAGCACTAATTTGGTCCTTATCTCATCTCACATCCTGCTTTCTATTTACATGCCAACAATAGGTGTAGCGCATTGGGTGCTACTTGACACCCTCCGGCATGGCAACGGAGGAACCTGCATGCTCTGCCTATCCGAATGCTTCTTCTTCCTCTTCTTCGCGTCCGGATGCTCTTGTTTCTTTAGATCTTCCAAGCAACGGACATCCGCCATGCACGTAAACGATCTAGATTTTCCGGCGTAGTATCTTGACAACCCTCTCCTGCTGAAAAAATGAACATACACCATGTTATTAATTATTCAAGAACCATATAATAAGAATTGAGCGATCAAGAATCACGTCTCGTGAAGCAGATGTCACTGAGTCAACCTCTAGCGAGAATCGATCAATTCTCGAAAAAATAAAAGAAAACACGTGCTTACTTTCTTGGAAGATTGGTCATGAGAGTGCCCATGTCGAAGGTCCTCATATTTTCAATTTCTTTCTCCATATTGTTGATGAGATAGAGAGAAGAGTATGAGGAGGAAATGTTGATTGTAAGGATTTATATAGTAAAGTTTGGACAAAATAGAAAAAAAGTTGGGGGGACTATAACGGTTGGATAAGGTAGAGAGAGCTCACGCGTTAAAACTAGGTGGTGATAGGATTGAAAGTTGAGAGAGAGAGAGAGAGAGAGAGAGAGAGAGAGAGCAAGTTGGAGAAGGGTTCGATAAACGTGGGTTGGTTCAGGGCCTCAAACCAAAATATCCCATGTTTTTGCGTCCACGGTTTTGGTTTGGTTGTGGATATGTATGAATTTTTTTAAATACACATCCACAGCCTTATCTACACTTGCTCTTGTCCATTCAATGACCTAACCTTTTATCACAGGCATCTTCTAAATTGCGTACTAATATTCTTCTTTTATTGGTGGTGCATATTTAAGGTGACTCTTAAGTCTTAATCCACCATGACCAATTTTTTTTTTTTTTTTTTGGGTTAAGTGAATGGATAAATATATATAATAAGATAGTGGTAAAGTGCTGTCATCATTTGATTTAGTTTTCAAAAGAAATAAAAATAAAAAATTATTGTCGTCACATTTAAAAGGACAGTATGATGTGTATTGAAAAGAGAAGAAGTTATTATATAATCCTGAGATCAATTATTTTTGTTACTCACTACTTGATTATGGTGGTTTCGTAACAAGCTATCATTCATTTTTCTGACTAAAGTCTAGACCGATGTATTAGGAATTTTCAATATACCTTCTTCACATTAAGACAGTGAAAACCTAATCCTAATCTTGATTATTTTTTTCTCTTTCTTTCATGGACATAGTTCAGAGAGATGGTTTTTGTGTTTTTGATACCAATTACAAATGATCTCAAGGGGCAATTATTGGCAGCATTGTGCCTTTTCGAGTGATCTAAACCATCACCTGCACTGATGGTTTAGTCAAAGAAGAAGCACTGGTCCAGACCAGATGTAACTCTTTGACTAACATTGGTTCGGACTAGATGCACCTATTTGTGAAACCCAGCAGAGGAAGCTCAGACAAAAAAAATTAAATTAAGCCAAACGTCCAGTTCATAAATTTCATTTAATAAAAAATTAATTAAATTTTACAGTTAAGTCCAAGCTCGAATAGGGTGATAGATGGGTTGGACCAAAGTTTGCATAAGGTCCTCCCTTCTTAAAAACTCGAGTGTCTTTGGGCCAATCTTAAATTCCAAATTTGAATTATATATACTTTTATTAGTTTCACTTTTTATCCAACGTGAAATAAACACTTCCTATATTTTACATACACATTTAAGTTTATCAAACACCTTACTTTCGAACTAATTTCGCATTCGTTCGCAAACGAATTTGAGAAAATAAATATATCACGTTCATCTTTTTACGAAAAAGAACGCGTTTATTTATAGATTCATAAATTTTTTTTAGCAGAGCTTATTCAAAATTTCACTCAAAGTTTAGATTTTGTAAGTTCCGTTTCCAACACCCCATTGTGCTCAATGTCTAATCAAATTCAAAATCAAAACTTAATCCTAATCCTGATTAGAACTCTCGCGGGCATCCACTCCTACCATCAAACCGTTCTTAATTTGTTTTCAATTTCTGCCATTTTAAACGTTCCTCTGTTTTGAGAGTTCCTATGGAACTTACCAATAGGGACCGGTCAGTCGGGTGCTTCGAATAAATATGTATTACCAAAGTGAATCAATACATATCATTTTTTATAAACAAAAATATATCATAAATGATACTTTTACCCTTTACATATAATAAAGTACCCCTCTATCTCAAATTAGAGTTTTCATTTACATGAAATCTATGGAAGTCCGCTTCTTATTGCCAAATTCAAGTGTGTTAGTTAATAATTACGTCGTCAGATAAACTTATGGTTTGTTTGTGTTGAAAGAGACATGAAACATATATTATTTATAGTTAAATTGAACGAGTAACATGAACAATCGTTGTAGAAAGATAATGAAACAGAGTGTATATGAGGATATATGGGTAGTTAGTCAATGGGTCTTTTGGATTGTTTAGTTTGCTTTTTCATGTACATCATTTTATGTATATATAATGGAGGGAAGATTTGCAGATTGAGAAATGAATGTGAATTTAATCTAATCAAATGAAATTAATATTAAACATCAATTTTGCAAACTCTGAAAAAAATATTTGTGAATTAGAAAATTTTAGAAATGTAATTAATACAAGAAAATCAATATAAATCTTGACATCAAAATTAAATTTATATATATAATATAATGAAATGAAATGTAAATTTAAATTCAAAATGTAATACAGAGTACAAATTTATGTAACTCCATGGTATATTGCCTGGCAGAGAGGAGGGGACTTGAGCATAATTGTAGTTTTGTGAATTTTAGAAGGCTATTTTCGTCATTTTTGGATGTAATACAGTAAGAAGGGCGAATCTGGCATTAAATAAAAATATATGATAGTTTTTTTTTTTTTTTTTTTTCGCAAATATATGATAGTTCTACTTCTATACAACAAACTTTGAGAGCGAGTGTAAATTTAGTAAAAACCCTAACCTGACTAATCCCAAACCCTAATAATAAAAATTTTGAGTTAGGTACACTCCGGATGATTGCTCCTGGGGTAGCCAAATAAGGCTTAGCTCATCGTATTACTAAAGAGTCAATTTGAACAACTAGAACTTGACCCGATTTTAAGTTTGGTCCATTTTCGGCTATACATACATTTTCGCAAATAAATTGTCCAAGACTAATTATTGTAGATATCTCTTCACAATAATTGTGACGGAGAAAATATCAATTCAAATTTAATGGATTCAAAAAGATATTACAGTAGGGATCGGAGACTAAATGGTTTGCAATAAACAGTCAGATTCAGTCACACGGGAAGAATTCAATAGAAAATTGAAAGAAAATTTGAGGGAAAGCGCAAGAAAGTGGGAGAAAATGCAGGAAACATGTTCGAGGGATTGCACAGGTAGATTTCTTGGTTTTGTACATTCCCATTAGCTTGCTCCGTTGTCTCTGTATTATTTTGATTAATGGTGAAAATAAAGGTGGTATTTTTGAATCACGACATTTCCACCGATATTGTTCTTAGAATCACGAAATGCAGGACATTTTATTGCGACAAGGTTTTTAGAATCACATACCCTTAATTATCTCGACATTTCCATAAACATTTTAGAATCACGACAATGCAGGAAATTGTGTGTTGTGTGTGTGTTTTGGCAAGTGCATACCATAGATATTGACATAATAAACAAGAGGAGTGGTTCACCATTGCCAGAATAAATGGAACAAATTTAGAATCAATTCATCAGCTCCCTAGTAAATTTGTACATGGTTCTGACTCAATCCCAAAAGGAGAATTCTACAATCTAGTGAGAAACAAAGCCACAACACTATTATTATTTATTACAGTGTCATATATATAAATATTATATAGGATTGAAGGTAGTGTTGCATATACATTCACACCCATATATAAATCACACCTTAAAGAATAGATCAACACCATGAGAGAGGAAAAAGAGTCAAGGATGATACAGAGTAGTGCATACCATGCAGCATTGAAGAAGTTGTGTAGTAAGTGTGTTAACATTCAAGAGATGCCTGCTAACTACTTCTCACTCATTCAAAATCTATAACCCCACAAGAAACTTCACATAATATATATATCATCACCGATTTAGTCAGTAAGGAAACGGTGAAATTTATCTACCATTGAGTGAGCCGAATTGTTGGAACATTGCAGTACCAGAATGCGCATCAATGGGAACTTCAGCAGGGTTTCTATTCGCTTCTGGTGAAGAAATTGGCCTATTATCGGAGGCAGCAGCAGGAGCAGGAGCAACAGTAGCAGGTGACCCAGGGGAGGTTGTGGCACCTAATCCTTTATTTTCCTCCTCGGCCTTTCCTTGTGAGGAAGCCTCTTGCAGCTGCAAAGCATACTCCAAGTTCCACAAGACATCGCCCATCGTAGGCCTGTCCACGCCATACTCAGCCAAACACTTCTCTGCAGCCTCCGTGAACTTCTTCATGGATTCGGGGTTAATGACATTGACAAGAAGAGGATCCATGATCTTTTCGAGCGTGCCTCTTCGCTTATTCAGCATTGCCCACTCTGCCAAGTTCACTTGATCTCTTGGCAGCCCTGGGTTGATAGGAGGCCTTGCACACAACACCTCTAATAGTACCACTCCGAATGAGTACACATCTGACTTGTCTGTCAGCTGCTGCTTCCTGAAGTATTCGGGGTCAAGGTACCCGAAACTTCCCTTCACCGCTGTGCTCACATGAGTTTGCTCAGTTGTAGGCGCGTCCTTGGACAGCCCGAAGTCAGCCATCTTGGCAATGAATTGATCATCCAGCAAAATGTTAGTGGTCTTGACATCACGGTGGATAATGCCTTGAGTTGCCCCAGTGTGGAGGTAATGAAGCCCTCGAGCAGCACCAATACAGATTTCTAGCCTTTGCTTCCATGTCAAAGTCAAGTCTTTACCATAGAGATGGTCCCTGAGAGGTCCATTGGACATGTACTCATACACCAAGATCATTTCAGAGTTCTCATCACAATAGCCTATAAGTGACACCAAATGTCGATGTCTAAGCTTTGATAACATCTGAATCTCTGTCTGGAACTCATTGATACCTTGTTCGGATTGTGGGTTGCCTCGCTTGATGGCAACTTGACTCCCATCATCAATCTCACCAATATAGACATTGCCAAAACCACCAACACCAATCACTGCATTTGGATCCCAATCATTGGTTGCGTCCTGCAACTCCGCAAAAGAGAAGTACCGGCCTAATCCCATTGTGGATGAGTAGAAATTGGTCTTCCGAGAAGAATTCTTGCGTGACATGTAGCTTGAGTCTCCGGCATGAAGTGGGAGTAACCATGAGGAGAAGCTCTTGCTCTTCTGCCAATCACGAGGCCTCTTCTGCCACTTGACTGCCATTGCTCCCAATCCCACAAGCGCTCCAAACATCATCGCGAATCCAACTGCAGCCACCGTGCCTTTGGAGGCATTGGTAGCACTCTTGCCATCAACACCAAACTCTCCATCCAAACTATTCACTGAATTGTTCATTTTCAAGACCTCTAGACCATTTATAATGGCATTCTTTGTACCGGTGTCTTGGTTCATCGGACCAATCTGAATGCTAAGAGGACTAGAAATCACTGAACCATTCACAATAATGTCTTTGTAGTAAGGCGTTGCCAAACCGCCTTCTGTCACGCTGGACAAGTCCAATCCAGAAATGGCCGTTTTACCATTGATGTACACATTGAAGTAGAGGTCATTTAGAGATTTGCTCACTATGTCACAAAAATGAAGTCTTACAAGGTACCCGTATGCAGTATCAACATTAAGGTTCCATGTTACATTGAAATTAGGACTACCCACTTTTGCATCACCCATCTGCTGCGCAGAGGCATACACTGAAGGCGGCGCAATCAATGGAGACCCTGCTTGTGGATACTTGATGACACTAGGAGCAACAGAGACACTCTTAGCTATTTCCTTGTCCTTCAAGTATTGCTCATCTGTGGCCCATGTTCGACCAAGGGTGTCATTGTCAGAGGTGATTTCAGGCCCTCCCATGTTGAGCCTGTAAACTGTTTGATATGAATTTGCAGCCAGTCCATTGATTTGGGCGACAGGGGAGAGGCTGGAGCCGGTGTCAGGAATGAGAATGTCTGGGGCGGAGACCACCTCGATGGCATTGATGAAGGCGGAGGAGCCCTTGTCAGGGACAAATTTGATGGAAAAACGCTCAGTGGTGACATTGACCAAGTACTCTTTGAGAACCCAATTGTTGGCATTGCTGAGACTGAACTCATGGAGCAGAACCAATGTGTCCGTGTTGACACTGAACTTTGCGGTTTGGAGATTGAACTCTTTGTTGCTGACGGGGTAGAAATAGAGACGAACCCAATGATAACCCGGTCTAGCCATGTGAAAGGTGTAAGTGGCCTCGGAGACGAACACTTTGGCTGTGAGGTAGATGGGAAGAGGGACATCTGCTTTGGGTGTCGAAACTTGGATGTCACGGCTTTTTGATTTTAAGTACTGGGTGGAATTGTTGTCAGATGAGAAGACTCTGCCGTCCGGGAGGGTGGTTTGGGAAGTGGCGCCGCAGTCGATGAAGTACTTGTCTTGTGGGGTGAAGGTGGTGGGGGTGGGAGGGGCGGAGGAGGTGGCTGCATTGACCGGGGCGGTGGGGACGGCTACGAAGATGTAGAAAAGAACCAGGAGGAGCATCGAAGACAAAGATGACGATGATAAAAAATAATAAAGATCAAAAAGGGGTCCTCTAGGTTTCTTTTCCATCTTCAATCCTCCTGAGTTAGGAGGATGAATTGAAAAGATTGAATATGAAATGGGGGTGGTGTTTAAGTTTGTTACTTGTTTCTATGGAGAAAGAATGTGACAGCCGGAATGTGCTTTGTTTTGCCAATATTGTCGCCCATGTTTGTGGGGTTTTGGTTTTGGTTTGGGGCCTATTCTTAGTATTTGGCAACAGAATAACAGAAACCAATCCTTGCACACACGACATTTGAAACGGTCAAATGCCATTCTTTCCTTTGTTCTCTCTCTCTATGTATTTATCCATGGGTTGACATCTTGATTTTTTATTTTATTTTATTTTATTAAAACGGTTTACGTCGGCACAGACATGAATGCATTTTCAGGTTGAGTCAATGGTTGAAATCGAAAAGTCAAAAGAAAAAAGTTGAGGGAAAGGTGGACTTGACTATTAGGCAGTCAACCACATCCTAGTTCAACTGAACTAAGGAAAGAATCTTCCAATTTCAATCAATATTAAAAAAATAAAATAAAAATAAAGTAAAAAATAATTAAAAAAAAACTCTCTTTCCAACTTGTTTTTAGATTCAACAAGGGAGAAAAGGTCTTCATTTTCATTTTCTCCAATTTATTATTATTAGTATTTGATGAGAAAATAACCCTAAGTTGACCTTGATCATCTGGTAAGATAAAGGTGAGGTCGTTAACTTGAGGAAATCAGTTGAGGATGATAAATGACATCTCAATTATTGACGCACTTGATTTCACCACCATCTTTCAAAAACAATCATAAATAAGGCATAGACAAAAAAAACTCCTGAATACACACTGATATTTCACTTCTCTATACTACATTTTCAAACACCACTTTTCTGTTATACAATTTTAAACATTGATTTAATCTCATCAACCGACCCCAACGTCGGAGAGTCATCGGCCATCTCCCATCTCCATCCATCGTGGGAGAGTCATCGACCGACAACCCCACATAATCTCCGATAAATATCCCCATAATCTCCGAATCGGGCATATTTTCGCTTCAACAGTATAATATTTATCATAATTGTTCTCTACATAGCAAATTTTCAGAACTAGGCTATTTAGATCCTGCAAGGTAATAAGGGGCTTGAAATTGTGACTGAGATTCAAATTTTGGGCACATTCATGATCCAAACTCTGGTTGTTGTCTTTCGTAATATCATTTGACTCCCAATGCTGCTGGCTTTAAGGATTCTTTGCATTCAAGAATTAAATGGTCCAGTCCATTAGGCATAACATCAATACATTATATATGTGTGTGTGTGTGTGTGTTACTAGGGAGTAGACACAACAGCTTCGCGTGTTCAACAAATCAATATTGTGTATTAAAGCATCATATATAAGAGGCTACTGGGACTAAACTAGAAGAGGGCACACTGATTGATTGGATTCACTCTTTAACAGTACACAACCACCAAAACCGAATGTCACAAGCACTCCACTCTACAATTTATTACACCCCATGATAAAACTCCTAACCATCTCAAACCAACCAAGCACATGAATACAAAGATGTGCACACAAAACTACTATATATATATATATATATATATATATATGCGATGATGATGGATGATGGTGATGGTGATGATGATTGTAGTCTAATGGTTATGATGACCAGGGAGTTTTTCCTTGATCTTCTCCATCATACCCTTCTTCTCATGTTCATGAGCCGAATGAGTCACGGTTGTGGTGCTGCTCAATGTAGTGGTTCCAGTGGGCGCGTGCTCGCCGACGTCCTTGTCTTTGTGCTTGCCCCCTCCTAATTTCTCCTTTATTTTCTGCGTCAATCCCTTCTTCTTCCTTCTCCCACCTTGCCCATCATCCTCGGACTGCATTCAAACACACACACACAAATATATATATATATATATATATATAACAGTTATATATAAAACAGTTTTCAGAAAACTGAATCAAACATTAACCAAACATGCCCCAAATAAAATTGAATGATCATATCATGCAAGCCAAATAATCGTATTCATTATATATACTTTATTTGAAACCATTTTTTGAGATTGCATGGTAGCTAGATGATATCATATATATATATATATATATAATACAGGAAATGACCATATAACCACAACTATGAAGTTTTCAATATCTCACCGAGCCAGAGGAGCTTGAACTGCTAGATGAGCGACGAAGCTCCTGCTGCTGCTGAATTTCAGGTCCAGCCTCTGTTACACCACCATGAACCGCAGGAGCCGTCGTCCGACCAAGCGGGGAACCGGACAAAGTTCCAGTGGCTGGTACACCTACGTCCGGTCCAGACCCAGCCGTCTTGGCCACCCCAGTGAGGTGCATGGGGTTGCCGAATTCATCGGTGAGTTGAACTGGGTTGCCATGTTGGTCGGTCAGCTGGATTGGGTTGCCATGTTCATCACGTAAATCCGCCATTTTCAGACCTCAAAAACTTAGAAACAGTGGGCTAAGAAGCAATTGAAAGTTGAAACAACCAGGGTGATGCGTTGGGTTTTAAAAGAAGCAGAGATGATAGAGGAGTGAAGGATCAGCCTTATTGCATGTAACTAGGATATTACACGTGTTTATAGAGATTGGAAGGAACATCAAAGGTTTTGCCACGTAAGAATTATGATGCCACGTGTCTTTCCACTAGGGACAAATTAGATGGCGATTTTTCTTCTTTTTCGTTATGGATGAGGATGGTCTGAAACCTGATCTAGCCGTCCCATCACTAGTGAATTGATGGACTCGTAGATAAGTTATCGGTCGGTTGTTAATTGTGGACAGTTCGTTTTGGCTCGTAACGGTTTACGAAATATTTACTACTGATGACTAAATATATAAATATATCTCTATAGTTTTGAAACATTTCCATTTTTTATATATATTTTTGGTAGAAATAAAAATAATGTGAAAAATATAAACAGGCTTATTGGTTTTTATTACAAACCGCAATTATTTGCTTCTCGTTCTTCCACGTCACAAGATTGTAGTTGAAGCTCGAGCTCTCATTGAATAAGGTGTGGTTGGGTAAACATTAAAAATGTAAAATGGCCAACACAAGCTTTGGTCCAGGGCATACACATTTTCTGGGCTTAGACGAAATATGGGCCTGAAAAAGAATACAAGATCTCACTCTTTTGGTTGGTAAGATAATTGTAATTGGGGCAAAAAGTAATTGAACATTAATATAATAAACTCAAATTTCTTATGAGCCAGCCAAACTTGTTTACAATCACACAAAACCAACTTTCAGCTTGATCAGGCTCACTCGTTTATGAAAGAAGTATCTAAATCAAACTCGTTTCACTAACTGAACGAGCTTGAAAGAACTCATTCATGAGCTGAACCAAGCCCGAAGTGTTCACGACTATACCTACCTTAGGAGGCTTGACAACCGAACCAAAGTAGGGGTGATGTTGCCGCCTCCCAACATACCATGCAGCTAGCAAACCATTATTATCATCTTTGTTTTAATCTCACATGAATAGAATCGAATTCTCTTTTTCCCATAAGATTAACATATAATTTGTTATGTAAATCAACAAACAATGGATTCACTGTGACCCTCTCCTAAAAAGAAATATAATTTTCTGAACAAGTATATATGGCAGAATAAGGTGTGGTCAAACAGAATTCTTTTGAGAATATCTTCATGAACGCATCCATGAAAAGAACAAATTAAAATGTACAAAATAATAACAGGAATAACTACTCATGATTCAATTCCATTCTACTACTACTAATTTTTTTTTTTTTTTAATCACTATACATAATGAATTGATCTTTCCCGTGTGTAATATTTCCTTCTTTAATGTGTAACTTCAGAAGCTAAACCTATTCTTGCTTGAAATGACTGAAGGCCGCCGATGTTTCTTTACAAATCCTGATGGATTACTGCTTCCAGCACTGTTCAGTCGCCAAGCCAGATTCCACTGAAAGATCAACCATGGAATCTGCATTCATAAAAATATCTGGCTGTTCAATAACTCAATTCAATACTAAATTAATTATACAAGTGAGTGCATTTGATTACACAATTTGAATAAATACTTAAAAATAGTATATTCCACTTAAAAGTGTCAAGAGATTTCACTCATCACTAAGCACTTTAAATTTCCAATAAGCATCCAAGAAATTCTCAACACCCAAAAAATAAGTACTTAAAATTAAGTTATTAGAGTTCTCAATAACTTCATATTTCATTTTATCAAACAACAGTGTCTTGCAAGAATCCCATTAAATACTCAAGTGTCGGAGAATATATAAAACTATGATTTTTAGTAATTTACAGTGTTGTGGTCCACAGTGTCACCAAGGCCAACTACTATACATATTTACACACACACACGTGATGCCTAGACAAAAAACGAAAAACGAAAAATTAGTAGAGAGAAAAGCAATTTATGTGAGAAGGGGCGGCTAACCTTTAAAGAGCCAGACAGAATATCACTCTCTGCTAGATTTTGACCAGAAAAAAACCTTCTTCTGAGTACCGTGATTCTCCAACAAGGATCTAGTCCCCTTTGACCCACCAAATGAGAAATGCCTCCTCAAGAAGTTCTTCCCTGAGGAACTCTTCAGGCTGGAAGTTGAGCTCATCTTGAGACCTTTTCCCTCGTGTCCACTGCTTTTGATGCGATCAAACACAACAGAATCACCATCAAGATCGCTATCCATGATTCGGCTCCTTGATCTTTTGTTATTTCTAGCCTTCAAATCCCTTTCTGCTCTTAGTGCCTTTTCAGACAACTTCAAGGCCTGTTTCTCCCCAAAAGTACAAATGGGGCAAGCTGGGTCATACTTGTTGATTTCAAGTGTCATATTCTCTAAGCACTCGGCATGATAGACATGCCCACAAATTAGGACAGCAACCGCAGTAAGGTCATTATTAGCAATAAGTTTTTGACTGCTCCATGAAGATTTCTCAGTTAAAAGCTTTGAGCAAACCCCACATGATTGTATATCAATAGAGGGAGAGGATAAAATTCGGCTACTGGATCTGGTTATTTTGTCACGATTGACGCCCAAGTACTCGCTATCAAAAGACCACCTCTCCCTATGAGAAGTTCCCATAAGCTCAGAGAAGGGGGGCATAAACCAACCATCTGAAGACCCACCATGGGAACCCCTAGTTGATTCATTGCTCCAACCAGGAAGAACAAAGGAAGACGCTTCTTCAGAAATCGAGAAATTTGGTGATTTAAGTCCTGGGGTTCGGCTATCAGATACTTGCCGTAATAGCTGGTGCCCATGAGAAACACGAGGCCACCTCGATGGAGTTAAGCTTGGAGGAAGTGGGTGATTTTGGGACGACAAAGGGGATGCAGAGAAGGATGAAACTGAATGCACCGAAGGTGACAGCTTTGAGGGAGACTGGTCTGAAACTGATGGAAACTCTGTTGGTTCTTTTACCTAAAACATTCAATAGAGAAAGCAAACATGAGATGCAAAAGAACCGAGATTTTGAAGTCAGAAAATTATAAGCACATATCTTTTACTAAAATAAACCAGCTCTTCCACACTTACCTCTGCAGAAAAATTTCCGGAGATTAATTGGCCTGCAATAGGAAAGCAGGAAGATATCAAACACGATACACATAACGAACTAATGACTTAATTATTGCCCATAAAAAACCAGACAAATAGAGACGTGAAAAAGAAAAAGTCATGAATGGGTCACTGAAAATCGGAGTTCAATATCGCTGGTGAATCACTTGAACTTACATAAATATACACAATTAAAAATATAGTCTCGTATAAACATGCATGATTCATGAAAAGTCAAAAATAAGGAAAAAGGAGAAAAGGAAATAAGGTATCTATTTCTCTTCCTACCATCTCTCACAACAGAAAACCAGGAGAATCATCACATTCACACCCTGTAAGAGATGTGATGTTTATCTCAAATCAGATCAAAGGGAGACCCAATTTTATTTAAAATAAATAATAAATGAGACATCACTCCACTATAATCAATTGTTTTGAATAAATGAAGATAGCATAAAATACTCAACACGACACAACTCAACAAAGTCTCCTCCTAACCAAATGGGTAATAGCCTAGCTGGTACAAGCCCTCCTCCCCAAAGGGCAGGTCGGGCATGGGTGTGTGTGTTTCCTTAACCTTTCCCCAAAAAAAAAAAAAAAAAAGTCTCCTCCCCCCTACATATAACATCAATCGTAAGAATATTGTCTCTCTTTATTATCAGTAGTCAGAATCTTCACAAGGACTGCAACAAGACATCGCAAAGTGCATCTGGTGAACACATGTAGCCATTTGTGCCTCAAAACAATAAGATTTAAAAAGTTTCATGGACAACACTGTAATACCCCACCAAAACTATTTTACTCATGAAAGAACGCATTCGATCAGAAGCACTACTATGTTTTTAACAGTTTAACATTTCTTAAGCAGCCATCAAAGTCTATAAATCAAAATATTTCCATGAAAATAGAGAGCTGTAAGAGATTCAAAACAGTGGTTTGAAATCAACAAATTTACAAATTGCACAATATCAAGGTCAGTCAACCAGCTCACAAAGAAAGATGTTCAGTAGAGAATCAAACCTTTGCGCTTTGTTTATGCAGAATGAAATTCATGCAAAGGCACATACAGAGACTTGGAAGCTCTTCTAGAATTTAATTCTATTATCATCTTTAGTAACACAAACTCTTTTAAAAGAATAATAAATGCCTAACCAACTGGCCTAAGTAACTGATCTCATAACAAACATCAAACATCACCCGTTCTTAAACACAAAAGAATAAATTGACTTATTAGTGCCCTGAAAGCATCACTTAAATCTGGTAGTTAATTTAAGACTACATTTCGAGGGCTCAAACAACAATAACAAAATAAGTGTAGAAGCAGACATTAAAGATCCCAGGTAAACTCTTTTCAAATATCAATACACATGGATTAATTAAATGGGCCAAAACTGTAATCATTTGAAGCTGGACACAGGCATCCATATCAATACACTTGTATCCTTGCCGTATTCATGTCGTGAGAATTAGTCAGACCGCAATAGTGTCCATGCTTCATAGTTAGAGCTTTATCTTATTTTACAAACCAAATGTTTCAAGTTTCTCAGTCAGCTCTTAGACTGTAACATAAGCACCTCTTACTTACAAACCCGTAGCCCCATAGTTAAATTCATGAGGTTTAAATCACTGCAGATGCAACAAATTCAGAACTTATTTCTAAAGGGTTCCCAGAGAATATAAAAAAAGAAAAGAAATTGAGAGCAAATATGACCTGCATCATAAATTCATAATACGTGGGATCTACTCTTGTGAGTAGAGAGAACCAACCATCAAAATAAACTACCAGCGTGGGGACCAATATAGTTAGTAGAAGAACCACCCATCAGATAAAACTACCAGCATTCTCCCTTGTTTACTTTTCTTTCTTATATTAGAGGGTGGATTAGAGTTCCTCAACAAATTTTAGTGCACATGCTTTCAGGTGTATTTTCTTTTAAAACTTTTAACCCTTCTCTTTTTTGCTGCAAGCTTACATTGTTTATTACTTGGTCAGTTTCTTTCAAACCATCATGAAGTTTCAAATATCTTTTTCCTTTTTCTTTTTTGAAAGGTCTTGAAGTTTCAATTATCATTTAATCCTAATAATGTCGAAATGGAGGAACTTCCCTGTCTATTATCTGAATTCAGGATAATATCTCACCACTACAAGATGAAAGGAGTTGGGTACTCAAACAGTAATATTTTGCAGAAGTGAGAAACTATTATATTTGTCATGGCCCTCAAGAGATGGTTACTCCTTTCAAGACATATAAGCATTTGGTCTAAACATAATGCAGAAAGGGGATATCTATCAATCATCCACTGGAGGGTGAAACTGTAGCTGTCAGTTTTTTAATTGGATGATGAAAAGGGCCTTGTGCACATCTGCGGAGAATTTACCAACATTATTTGCAATATCAGTTGAATCATGAATGGGTATATAGATTAGCCAAAATAAAGCCAAGAGAGAATTATTTTCAGGCAATATTTTAAAAAATCCCACAACAGTCTTTTCCCTTTCAGTTATTAAACCTGTTATCTCACCTATTATTTATTGTTATAGTTGAGAAGAATCCTCATCATCCTCCCCATCCCTCTTTCCACACTCTTCTCTTTCTTCAATAAAGTATTATGTCTTACAAAAAAGGTCTTTTCTCTGATAAACCTCAACTGTTTAGTAGTCAACTAGAATGCCTATCTTTCTGCCACATTCCTCAAGCACGTGCATTAATCTACTGATAGGCCTAAATGTCCTTGTTTCTCTCACTGCTAATGCAATTTTCAAATACACTAACAAAAAACAATTCAGTAAAGGAGCGTTCAATAAACAATCCCATCTCTGAAAGGATGTAACGACAAAGAATGTATATAACCGAGCATCAAGATCTCTATAGAACCCAACCTAGCAAGGAATAAGTGTAGTGAACTCCTCAATCATAATTCTAGACTAATATTGAGAGGATGATAATGATCTGAACCATGCAAACTGGAAATTTTTCCTTTTTTTTTTTTTTTTTTTTTAATTTAAAGAAAGGCCTTAGCCCGTCTCCAGTGTAAGAAGACCAAAACATAATCAGGTTTTTCATTTTGAACATTAAACATTATGATATTTATTTTACAATTAAAACAAGTGGCCTTCCATATATAGCTATTATAACCTTACCTGAAGAAGGAAGCCTGATAATCCCAGCACTGCCTTCAGAATTTGGGGACTTCGGCCATGCAAGTGTTCGGAAACTGTCCAATGGGCTTCCCTCTTCTGATGGAAATGAAGTTTCTACTGTGGTTCCAGATTTAATGTCCAATCCATCACGTCCACTCATACCATCGAAAAACCAGTTCACAGAAGTCTCTTCCCCAGCCACCCGCCCCCGGTTATCCCACCGAAAGCTCCATGATGGTGAACGGCGATCATTCCTGTGCAAAAAATCATTGCTTGGTCCGTTTGTTATAGTTTTGTCTCTAGCAGCAACACAACAAGCAGACCCCATGTTCACTCATACACACCACGTAGAACAACTAAACTTTATAGCAACTATGGCTCCCGGCGATAAAATTCCAGCTCCGTTACTCTAATAAGGATAAGATCTAGTGATTCCTCTGGAAACATAAAAAAAATGAAGTCAATTATCAATATGGGAATACATAATATCAATAATTATATGCACACAATAAAAAAAAAAAAAAGAGTTATTAAATGCATGCATATCCACATACTTATATACACAAAATGGTAAAATTGTTCGTTTATAAAGTTAGAGAAACATGTAATACAAATCTTTCAATAAGAACAAAAAAAAAAAAAAAAAAAAAAAAACCCATAAAAAGCTCATACGATGTAGAATGCAAAGCTTAAAAATGAAGGCATAAGAATTTTGAAAATTTGAGAATATAATGGAACACTTAATTGAACCACTCCAACTCTTCAGATAATAGTCATCATTTATTTAAAAATTCGACAGGGCAAAAAAAGAAGAAAAAGGCCATTATCTAGTGTTACCTCCTTAATTGGAAGGGTGGATGGAGTATAGACCTAACTTCTGAAATAATTTACACAAAGTGTCTGCCCTCATACTCAAAAGTGTTTTTATACTTCACAGTCCAATGTGCAATGGTACAAAATGAAAGACGAGAATAAAAGAAAAGACCAAGGTAAGCACATAGCAAACATTCTGTTATAAACAAACAGAGCATTAGTCTATGATTCAAACCTTTGATATCTCATAAGACTAAGATAAGCACATAACGACATTCTTCACTACAACAAAAACTGGAGTTTTACATAGCTGAAAATTCTACCAAACCACAAATGTAAACTGAGAAGATTATTCTCATAAATGAATCCAATCAAAATGCCAAAGGCAACCAAAATTCTTTGTTAAAAAAAAATTACAGTACCATTTCGTAAAAATATCCATTTTTCATACCGAGAGGATTGCTGTTCTAATCCATTTTGGGGAATCAATGCTCTGCACGTAATACTCCTAATAAATTTAAGGGCAAAATTTCCAAGTCACCAACATTAATGACACTCAAATCAACCATTACTGTTCAATAAAAGCTTGCTCCACCAATCGGATAAAACAGTTCTATCTCCAACCGTAACCAAAAAAAAGGGCATGTATTCACACAGTTTCACACACAAACAACAATATTCAAACCAATAACAATTAAAAATATAGGCGAAAAACATTGAACCTTGGGTCCGATTCGTCTGCAACTTTACAGGGGGGATTAGAGTAGGTCTAAGTCGCAAAACCCTAAAATAAGATGAATCAAAAGAGCACTACAGAGGTTGGAGAGATCCGAAATAAATGGCGAAAAAACAGTAATCACAGTCAAAACAACGCCGATCATCTCTCTAAAACCTTGTAGTTTCCATATTTGTCTTCAATTAATCACACACTTATTTACCTACAAATCGTCATGACACATATAGAGCCGAATAGAAACAAAGAAAAGCCGGACAGTTTCGTGATCGAAACGTACCTTTTGATCGCCAGGACTCCAGAGAAGAGAGAGAGAGAGAGATAGAGGGATATGTGTCTGTAATTTTGTATATAGAGATAGAGAAGAAAGAGAAAAAGGGTTCTGATTCTTCTTCCTCTTCCGAGTTGCAGGAGAGAGAAAAGAAGTACAACAAGTGGTGTTATTTTAGACGGTTTAAAAACTCCGTTTGTTATGCTGTGAGAAGTGGTACCTTTGCTTTATACTAGTGGTGATTTGTATTGTAAATGTTTGTACCTTGTTTTTCTTTTTCTTTTTCTTTTTTTATGGAAAGTGCAAGGTTTTTCATGGATATTTTTTGGAAATTTTCTTCTTTCCGTTGAAAAATATGTGTCCGGAGTCGGTAAAAAAGGGTCACTAGAGGAGGTTTCTTCTGCAGTACGCGGAGTGCGTAGTACGCATTACATGCTTTTGATTTCATATCCAAATATATAAATATATGAAATTTACTCAGGAAAGATTCTTAATTTGACTTTTCAGTATATTTATTACTACGAGTATTCAAAATATCAGATTCCCTTCCTTTAGTAGTATATATTACTCTTAGGCCATCGAAGTGGAATGAGGAATATATGATATATGGGGAAACTCTTACCTCCCAATTTAATTCACTACAGTAACCCATACATATATATAAATCCACACACATATATATATATAGATATATGGGTTATTTTTCTAAACGGATGTTGTTTCATGACTTGAATTTTGTAATTTTGTGCTAAAGAAATCTAAAATACTCATTTTTTATAAATTTTTTGAAAATGAACTTCAAATTATTTATTTATTTTTTTGGCCAATGATGATGTTTAGCCAATATAAAAGAGGTCTAACTTTATATTCCACACTGATGAAAGGAAAAAGTTTTAAAATGAGGGAAGAGGAGGTTGTGTAATTTTTAATACAGAAAAGATGTAAGTGAAATCTAGACAAATTACATCCTAAAAAAAATATTATCTTTACATATTTTATTCACAAATTTATATTGGGGTAAATATTACTTGTGAAAAATAGTCCAAATGTAATTTTATACTTGTCAAACATTCTTTTGTGATTTTATTATTATTATTATTATTTTTTTGAATTTGCCAATTTTGAATTTATTCTATTCTTATTCATATGAATGTTTTAAAGTTGACTGAATATCCATTTATTAGACTACGAGGTTTGAATAACATTGTCTACGCTAAACTTATGATAAGAGATTAGACTGCAATTTATTTTAACTGCCCAATAATTATTGGAAATTCTAATTGCTCTTGTTAATAAATTTTCAATTTTTCATTAAGGGATTCAACATTTTACAACTTGAGCAGTATAAGATCGGGGCACGTGCCTCCTGAATTTTTTTCTTTCCTTATTTTCTATATATATTTTTCTATAATATGTATATACCGAAATTTCTCCTTGTATACTATATATATATATCTTCTTCTTTTCTCATTTGTTTTCTCTATTTTTTAATTTTTAATTTTTTTGGTACTTGATAATTGTAATATTTTTCAAAATATGTTTGATTCTTACTTTAATACGAGTTCATTCCAAATTCTGATCTTACTTCACCAAAGTCATATGCAGCAGGACCACTAGATCATGTCGTGGGTCCCGCTAAAGACTTTAATTTTGGAGCTTATAAAATCGGTTGTATTGTTTTAATATGGGTGTGGAGTGCTGAATTAATTCTCTGAATGGTGTGCCTGCGTCATGTGTTCATCTGGTTGGTAAGACCATCCCTCGGTAGGTAGAACGGCTGCTTTTACCCGGGACTATCAATTAGTAGTTCCAGTTCCACACGTAAGTTTTAATTAAACCAACCCATTATTTAATAATAACTCATTACTTCAATCTTATGTAATAATCAATTAATATTGAACTAATTTATTCTTCTCTCATATGTATAATATACTAGTATATATAACCCACATATAAACAATTCATTCAAGAGCGAATACATGAATTGTTAATGGGGGCTAATATTAAACAAGAGAGAATTAGAAATTGAAAGATTAAATAGTTAGAAAATTTTAGAAGAAATAGGGTTAGACTTTAGAGGGAGAGAATGAGTGAGTTCTCGGATTTGTGCAATATTAGAAATTTAGGAGTTCTATGTGCTTTAACTTAGTGATTATTTGGGACTTGTTTGGCTTGGGCCAATTTGGTTGGGTCTTTGTTTTAAAATTGTGGCTTAGATATTGGATTTGTTTGGATGGATTAAAATTGGAGAGCTAATATTACTACTAATTTTTTCTTTTTTAAAATATTGGGCTAAATATGCCTATACTGTTTTTTTTTTTTTTTTGGGGTTGGGGGGGGGGGGGGGGGGGGGGGGGGGGAACCAATCCGACCATTAATGATATAAACACGAAAATTAAGATAAATTATTCTTTTTTAATACTTACAGAAAATTTTATCACATTATTTATTTTTTATTATTATTTTTTCATAGAACAACGTGTATCAGTCCCATAACACACTAAATTTAATTAAAAATTTTAATATTAGTACTCTTTATAAAGTTGTGATACATGTCATAGACATGTTCAATTATATTTAAATGAATGAGGAATGATATTATCATGACGTATTTAAATACGAAGATGTCATTTTTTATTTACATAAACACTTTTGAAATATGATAATGTCATTTTTCACTCCAAAAAATAATTATAATAATAATAAATTAAAATAAAATTGTCCAGTATGTCCGACTCTCAAAATACTTATCATTTTCCCTTCTTATAAATACTTAAAGAAGAAAATGTTGACACTTGGAGATGATTTCAACGAGAGATTCACCTTATCCATCCGAATGAAATGTCACATGCACTATTAATTAAGATTATGACTAATCTAATTCAACTAATGAAGGTGTTTTCTGTTGCAGGTAAGCAGGGGCGGAGTCAGGATTGCAAAGTATGGAGGGTTAAAAATAACTAAACCCGTGATTACTTAGTGTGTCATCCATGCTTTAAATACATAATTATCATGTATCAGTTATTCAATTAAACCCAATAATCTGCAACTTTCTAACACATTTACACTTCCAAATTCTAACATATTTTCACAATTAAGAATCCATTGAAATTTACTTCATACAAGTATTAAAACAAATAACTACAAGAATATAAGATATATATATATATATATATGTTCCTTATCAATAAATTCGCATTAGAAAGTAAAACCTATGTGCTCCGCTCCTGACTAATTATTAATTCATTATATAATAAATTACCCAATTTTAATAAGAAATTATCAAGTCATAAACAAAGCCCCCCCCCCCCCCCCACCTCCCTTTTTTTTTTTTTTTTTACAAAAATAAAATTCAATATTTCACTGGATTAATAATAATAATCCATGATATCCATCTACCTATGGCTTAGTACCTTATACACGAAGAGTTTAGGTCTTTTTCCATAGACTAACAATGTGTTTGATTTACTGGGCTGTGCCTATTATATTTTATTATAGTTTATTTTGTGATTGGATATGTCCATGGTTTATGGGCTTGCTTATATTTAAGACTTGACCTTTGTAAATTTTATAACTCTTTTTATTTATAGAAATACTATGGATTGGGCTGTGCTGATAAGAAGAGGAATAATAATACATAGGCTTATGGGAACAATAGTACTAATTTTTTTTTTTTTCAATTGGACTTGGACTATAGCTCAGGTTAGTCCATTATTAGTTTCTCCCTTGCAGGTAAGGTGAGTTGCTCTTCTCTGTATTTTTAATAATTCCCTTTCACTATTCCTCCAAATAATTAATGCAAACTGGACAATCTATCATTAATATATCTGTACACAATTTTGGCTATTTTTAATGTTCAATCTTGTCATAGTAGCTTTTAGTCTTTTCTTTAGAGCTTCTATTAATGAAGAAATTATTCATTGTTACCTACATTTAGATTTTCATTTGATTAGATCGAATTTAAAAATTGAAAGTAAAAGTACAAGAAAGTAAAGTAAATGAAAGGAACGAACAATTTTTTATTATATATTTGAATTATTGTATAGCATGAATTTTTTTATTTTTATTTTCCTTCAGTTGATAACACACCCCCCTCCAATAAATTATTTTACTTAATAGGAATCGATCCTGAGATTGATGCTGAATAGCATGAATTTTTTATAAAAAAATTTATGAAAAATACCATCTTATGATTTGAATAGCATGAAATTTAGGTAAAAGAAAAAATATTATTATAAGTTTATAAAACTTTCTCAAGTAATCAAACTTTTTCTGAATTTTTCAAAGATTTTTTAATCTTTTTATAATAAAAAATTAGATAGTTATAAAAAGTATTTTTCCCTCAAACCACCATTCAATTATGCATAATAATATTATTGAAAGTTTTCGAGAACTTTCAATAAGAAATGTAATGTAGTTGTTATATAAGTAATTTAAAATTATTGTATAAATAATGTAAATTGTTGCATAAATCGATATAAAAATACGAGACGTGACACGAGATGAAATCGTGGAGAAGAGAATCCGAATTCGTCCAAATGGTTCAACTTAAATTTAGAGATGATGATGATACAATAGGAGTGTGATGCACTGGCGGATCCAGGAGCTCCCAAAAAAAATAAAAAATAAAAAAATAAATAGAAAAGTACTAATCCATCCCATTATATATTTCTGAATCCACCTGGTGTCATGTCACTCATGTCCAAACCTCCAAGGCCGTTACCCAAAAAGCCAAAATTTACTTTTGTGACTTTCTAAAAAGAGTAAGCAGGTCACATGTAGATACAAAACCTTTTCTTTTGATAAATGTCACAAACCTAATCTTCATTATCATATGCAATGCATTAAAGTAGCTATATTTTCTTAACCATTGTGACTTTCAATGGGGTTGTTTAGTCATTTTAATACATACACTCCAACTTTTTAATTGAGAAGCAAATTTATACACAAGGTCTGGAATATGATTTAGTAGTCTCAACTACCTACTGTAATCTTAAAGGGATTGCTTGGTGAGAAGGGTCTTATACTCTTATCCGTATTTTATTGCTGTGCTTTATATATATACATACATATACATATATATATATATATATATGGTAAGTTGGAATAAAGTCGGTTCTGTGTGGTTGACAATGCTTTCAATTGTTCAAAACGACAAGGAAAACCCACCAAAGACCACTCAAAGGACAGTGGTGGAGAATAAAGAGACTACTGTGAGGTTTCAAATATTCAATGCATTATTTATATTCTAATAAGTTAGTATAATGTCTGTTTTATTTACTCACTCCTAAACTATATGCTTCCTTAAATTCCTACATTTACGACAAACAAATGGAC